CTATCCTATCCTATCCTATCCTATCCTATCCTATCCTATCCTATCCTATCCTATTGTAACTGCATTGGGCTGGGTTGAGGAAAAAGGGACCAGTTTAAAGGAGTTTTCACAGTTGAGGGTGAACCTGGCCCTTAATGAAGCTGCACTGACCGTACAACTTGGCCTCTTTCCCCAACAAATGCACCCCTGGAATTTGGTGACATGAGGGTCTCACCTAGGGAGAAAAGACCCCTTCCAAGCAGCCAAAGCAATGCCCTGGGTCCTTTCAACCCACCCTTCTCCTTACGCCAGTATTCTATTCTATTCTATTCTATTCTATTCTATTCTAATCCTATCCCATACCATACCATTCTATATTTTCTATTCTATATTTTCTTTTCTTTTATGTTCTATTCTATTCTACATTTTCTATTCTGTTCCATTCCATTCCATCCCATCCCATCCCATCCCATCCCATCCTATTCTATTCTATTCTATTCTATTCTATTCTATTCTATTCTATTCTATTCTATTCTATTCCATTCCATTCCATTCCATTCCATCCCATCCCATCCCATCCCATCCCATTCCATTCCATTCCATTCCATTCTATATTTTCTATTCTATATTTTTTTCTTTTCTATTCTATATTTTCTTTTCTTTTTTATTCTATTCTACTTTTTCTATTCTGTCCTGTCCTATCCTATCCTATCATTTTGAAGTCACAATGATATAAGACAAAACTTTGGGATCAATCCTCCATTTACGACCGTTGCAGCATCCGGAGGGCGTGTGATAACTATTCCCCTTGTTCACAACCGGCTTGCAACAAGCAGAATTAATAGAGAAGGGGGAGGTAAAATGGTAAGTTGTGGTCACATGATGTTTTGCTTTACAACTGAAGGGGAAGTGAGGTCATAAGCCTGTCGTGCTCACACGGCTTTCCACTTAGTAACTGAATAATCCCAAAAGTGGACGCGTAGTGAGAACTATCTGTAACGGGAAAAGATTCGTTCTTAATTGTTGTGTCTTTGTGCACGTTTGGTTCTGTCCAAAGAATCTGGAGCTCCTACTTAGAGAGCCTTTCCCACTGGCTCTTCCCCAAGACAGGAACCAACTTCTTTTCATCTTGCAGGAATATCAATCCGAAAACTTTGCCGATAGAACGGATTTTGCCAGCTCTGTCCAAGGACAAAGAGGAGGAGATTCGAAAGATCCTGCGGAACAACTTGCAAAAAACCAGGCAGAGAGTAAGTGCAAGGGCCTTTTTCCAGCAATTTTTTTTAAAAAAATTGCAGTAAATTCTCTCTTCCTGTGCTTTCTTCATTCCCGCTTTAAATCTTCCACTCAAGCAGAACCATAGTTCAGTCATGAAGAGAGATCATTGTTAATGACTTCTTGATGGGTGTTACAAGCATTTGTAAGGCTGCATGTAGAATATAGAATTCTTTGTTGAGTACTAATTTAGTAAGTATGAATGGACGCACAAGGAATTTGTCGTAGGTGCATAAGCTCTCAGTGTACCTAAAAATACATTCATCAAGAATCATAAGATACACCACTTAGTGATAGTTATAGAATACAAAATAAGCAATCAAATTCATACTGGAAACGAAATGAAACAATATAAATTGTAAGGATACAAGCAACAAGGTCATAGTCATAAGTAGAAGGAGATAGTTAATAGGAAGGATGAGAAGAAGAATAGTAATGCAGTCTTAGTAAATAGTTTGACAGTGTTGTGGGAATTAGTTGTTTAGCAGAACGATGGTATTCAGGGGGGGAAACATACTTTTTAAACAGGCGGTGAGCATCTGCTTCTCAGTCTAATCTCTTCTGCTTTCCATTTCAGTTGCGGTCATATAATCGACACACCTTGGTCGCAGATCCTTATGAAGAAGCCTGGAACCAGATGTTGCTGAGAAGACAGAAGGCTCGGCAGCTGGAACAGAAGGTGGAGAGGCGGGAAGGTGGAATCTGGGGAAGGTGGGAGAAGGGACCTTGTGAGGTTCTATCTAGACCCTCTAGAAAGGGTCTTCAGTGACTGGCAACTCTTGAGGCTACTTCAAGACCCATCTTTGTCGATGAGCTAAATTTTTCAAAAGTGATGATCAAATCACGTCATTCATAATAAGCTCATTTGTACACAGAGAAACACAATAGCACAGATAAATACATATATACATACACTGAGATGTGCATGCACACACACACACACACACACACACACACACACACTTTTCAAACGACTCCCTCTATCTTGCCTCTTCTAAATTGAAGTTAATGCAGATAAAAGGTGCTCCAGAAATTTGAACTGGGCTGAATCTCCCCAAAGCGGGACTTTTTTTAAAAAAAAAACACGTGCCTGTGTGTTTCTGATTCCAGATGAACAACTACCTGACGGTGCCAACACATAAAATAGATTCACCAACCATGTCAAGGGCACGCATTGGTTCAGGTAAGTGGAAAGATTAAGACTTTGGACCCAACACCTCTACCTCAATTTTTCATGTCCCACAGGTTTATTTTAATGTAAAGAATAGGGAATTTTTTTTATCTCCATCTTCCAGGATAGGTAATGGCATGGAGTTATAGCTCAGCAATATTTTGAAGCTGTGGGTAGGTCTGGTGGAATCTCCAGCTAAAGCGGAGGGAGTGGGGAGTTGATGAGACTGATGTGCTGGGTGTCCCTGTATGGGAGGAAGTGATGGATATCTGCTTCCCCCCACAAAAAAAGATCCCTGATATGTGATTATCCCCATGGAGTTAAAAGACTGGGGAGATTCTTCTAAATAAACAAGTAGCAATAAAGAAACTTTCTGATCAGCTCACGCTATTGTTCTAGTTCTTTGTGCCTCACAGTGATTAGTATGACATTGTAAGTTAGGAAAATGATTTTCCTGCTAGATTGGAGCAGAGAAAATTGCGGAGTGATGCAGTGGCCTAGAGGTGGAGCTCTCACCTCACAATCAGGAGGCTGTGAGTTCAATCCTAGGTAGAGGCAGATATTTCTCTCTCTGGGCACAAGGAGAATATATCTGCTGAACAAAGCTCTGTACTGGCAACAGGAAAGGCATCCAGCCATTAAAACACTCTGCTAGCTCCATTCAGTTGCTCAGACTTCACCCCGCAAGGGATTTATGGGGTCGTTCAATGAAGATGATGATTGGAGCAGAGAAAAGTGGCTCTTTCCTTCAACCCCACGTATCTTTGCTTTCTTTTGTAGACCCTCTTGCTTATGACCCGAAGCCGGATTCTGAGAACGTGCCCATCATCACCATTGACCCGGCATCCCCCCAGTCGCCGGAGTCGGTTGACTTGGTGAACGAGACCCTGAAAGGGATGCACCACCTTCCGCCTTCCCCGGAGGAGGACGAAGATGAGGAGGGGCTGATAATGAAGGTCAAAGAGCCGTCTTCTCCAGGCACAGATGACGTCTTCACTCCTGGGACAGGCGACAGTCCCAGCAACCAACGGATTATGAGATGCCTGAGTGATCCAGGGCCTCGGCCAGATCCTAACGAGGGCGAGCCCTTTATCCCCAAAGGGCAGTGAGCCCGGATATGCACTACTAGACCTAGCCTGTAGGGGAGGCTCTTGCACTCATGTGCAGATTACACACACCCAGTTATGCCAAACTCTATTTCTTTGTGTCTTTCTCTTCTCTGTCTCCTTCTGTTCAGTGTGGGAGCTTTGCTAGAAGGTAGCAGAGAGCATCTCAATGGAACATACCTTGTGACCAGAGGCAATAGATCTAGAATTAACTCAGATTCCATATCCCAGTCTGGGAATGCTAGTCATTCTAGTCATGCTCTGACTACTGTTGCCTTTCCCACTGGCAACTGCACCTTCTCGTTTCCTTCAGAGAAACGTCTTTGCTATAATTCCCTCCTCCCAGTTTTGAAACTGTTCTGACCCAAACCTTGTTCCAAGGAAACAAACACCAAACAGAGATAAAAGCAAAACCTTTTAATGCTTCTCTGCGAATTCCGTTAATTCATGGTTAAAAGGCTATTAAAACTAATTGTCTCTGACAAGAAGGAGCCTTGCCAAGGTTGTGCAAGGCGGCCAAAAGCACTAGATTAAGTTGTCAAGAAATATTCCAAACAAAAAAATCTTCAAACACAAAACAAGATATTTCGAATGTCAACAAGGCTTGAAGTGCAAGAACTTCTTTGCTTCCTGCAAAGAACTCCGGTCTCTCAGGCTGGCTTTTATCTGAGGGGCCATTACCTTGCAGCCTTACTCCCGAGTTGCCCATGCTGCTGCAGCTGCTCTTTCCTATGAGCAGCCCTGCATGCGCACGCACTGGGCACAGGCTCCTCGGGGTCCTCTTCATCACTTCTGCCAGCCTCCACAATTTCTGAAGGCAGCACTCCACTCCCCGATGGTCCTGGCCCCATCCCTGCATCACACGCAGGCCCCTCATCTGAGTCCTCTCTCTCTGAGACCTCAGTTGTCCCACACCTGCTGCTGGCGAACCACAACAGAAAAAACACCAGTAGAGTTGAGTACCTTTGGGTGCTCAGATCGATCTATCAGTTGGTGCTGCAGGAAGTCCTGCATAGCTCTTGGATGATCATAGGTACACGTGTCTAAGATGAAAAATAAAATAGCATTCTGAAAGTTTCCATCCTCAGATGTAATGCCATGTTTCCTCTTATCTTTTCTTCTAAGCAGTAGAGTTTATGAGTTTCTTTTTGTGGGCTTCTTTTTAAATCCCATAAGCCATAGATCATTGTTCTCAATTATTGGCGTCCCAAATTTAGCATCGCAGATTTTGCCTTATTTTATGCTTTTGTAATGGTTTTTTT